TTTAAGTTCTCATTGTAGACCACGTTTAACCTTTTGCGACATACATTTCTCTATCAAATTAATTTCACAGATAAATGTACTTTTAGGGGTTTTTGGTAATCGCTGATTACGAATCCGAAACCAGATTTTCAAAATTTAAAATGGCGGATCCAATATGGCGGACGAATTTTAGAAAATTACAATATTTGTATGAAACCTAGTATCTAGTATTTTTTGGTTCGCTGATTATGAATCTGATCTCAGATTGACGAAATTCATAATGACGGATCCAAAATGGTGGACAAAACAACATGTTAAAAAGTGGATAAAATATCATGAAAATCATTACTCGACGGTTTTTAGGGTCGTTCATTACGAATCAAATATCAAATTTTCAAAATTCAAAATGTTTGATCCAATACAGAAGACCAAGAAATAAAAGAATGTGTTTTAGGTCTTCAAAATTAGTTGACGGAGATCTTTTTGGCAGCTGATTACGAATCTAAAGTCAAGAGTAAATTTTTTGATCCAATGTGTGCCAAACATGTAAAAAATGAGTCTTTTCAAAAGGTAGAAAATATTCTCTCGCTAAAATCTCGTTTTAGCGTTACCCAGAGCTAACGATGCTAATTTTGAAAATTTGATCAACGACCTAAAAAACACTAGATACTAGGTTTCATACAAATACTATAATTTTCTAAAATTCGCCCGCCATATTGGATCCGCCATTTTAAATTTTGAAAATCTGATTCCGGATTCGTAATTAGCGACCCAAGAAATTCTTAAATACCAAGTTTGATAGAAATTGATAATTTTTTAAAAATTCGTCCGTCATATTGAATCCGTCATTTTGAATTTTGAAAATCTAACTCCGGATTCATCAGCGACCCCAAAAACCCCTTAGACCTTATTTTCAACTTATTAATTATTGTTGGTTAGTCACAATTACATTTATTGTATAAAAAAGCAGTATTTTTGTAGTTTGTTTATTTATAAAATATATTTCCTCAACAATAAGAAAGTTTTCAAAATTTTTTAATGACAACTGATATTCTACATAACTGATAATGTGCTTTTTACTGTACAGATGTGTTGAAGACTATTTAAAAAATA